ATGTTAAAATACGATCAAAAGGAACTTTATCCCAAGGTGTACAGAGCAATTTTCAAGCAATGTGTTCAAAGACTTTTAATCTCACTGAAATGTTTCTCTCTATGGGTAGAACCTTCACCTCTCTATGGGTAGAACCTTCACCTCAAGTCATGCTTTTTTCGGTTTGGAATTGTTTTATTCCTGGGCTGAAACAGAAATCAAAGCCTCTGTAGCTCCTACCTGCACTACAATATCCTGGCTCCACAGGACCTACCGGATGTACTGCTGGATGGCCCCGTCATGGTTCCCCTTGTTGTAGAGATGATCCCCATACTGCCGGAAAATCTCTGACAAACCATCGCTGTCCAAGTGGTGGCTCTTGGCCAGGTTAATGGCCATCTCAAATAAGTTCTTTCTGAATAGCATCTGTTAAACACATAGTAAGAGCTGTGTAAGGGAAATACCACCCCACAAAACAAGTTCAAATACACCTGGAAAACAAGTTGTTTCTTCTTTTTAGTGCATATGTGCCTTTAGGCTTTTAAATAGCAAATGCCTTATAACACTGGTTATGCTGAAAAGCTATTAGGTCACTTGTTATGTAACTCACCTACCTCAGTGGTTCAACTTTTCAATCTGCAGAGCCAGTACAATCTTGCAGACATAAAGCAGAGACTAATAAGAAAGCAGATTTACATGCCTCGAGTTTGGTTTGTGTATCCTTCTCCTGTAGTACATGGATCTTCCCATCTCTGGTCAGTACATACAGAGAACCCCACTCTGCCAAGACATCCACTATATCATCAAAGACTGAGCTGTATGCAATGAATTTGTTGCACAAGTCATAGATATTCAGGACTTGTTTGTCTGAATTCTGTGCCTCATTCCCAGCAAACTCTGACCTGGAGAGCAGAAGAAAATTTTAAAAAACAAAGACAGGGTAACTTGAACTCCTGATACCTGTGTCAACTAGGGATACCTGTGCCCCCTACAGAGGGCAAGACAAGCAGGGTTCACCCGGGCAATAAATTAAGTGGGCCTAGAGGCAAAACATCTCGTATTTATACACAAATTCCATTATCCTGTTATACTGAGAAATTCATAGGACCAGGAAAAATTCCCATTCATTCAGCATGCTTAACCATGCTGCTCTTGCAATGGAAGTTAATTGATAGATTGGTCTGGATGAACCTCAACAACCTCTGACAAAGTTGCAATCGGCCTCCAAGAGCAAAGCTTCACAGGGAAGAACGAAAAAGTGGCAAAGCAGGAAGCTGCAAGAGCAAAAACAACTCATCTGTTCCGAGAAGCCCTACTTTGGTGAAGTCTTTCGGTCCTTGGAGACGATGATGAGGTACCCCCGATACCAGTGAACAATCAGCTTTTGTCCCTCAAAGGCGAAGCAGGGGCCGCGTTCATCTGGTTGATAAAGGTACACACATTCATTTCCTGCCACAATGAACTGGAGATCCTGGGAGGGGTCACTGAGAGATGAACAGCGCAATCCACAACCGTGAGTGTCCAGCTCCAGGCGAGGATAGTCTTTCACTGAAAGCATATAAGACTACAGAGGAAATTCAAGGGTTTGGGGATTGCTCTGGCCTAGACTCTGAAACCAATGAAATTTGCAAGTCAGAGTCTCATTTTTTCCAATTAACGTCTCACCTGGATGTTCTCTGTGGTCACCACAAATAGATGTGTAGTTTTGCCAGACTGTCGGAATGCTAGGCCAGTAACTGGGTAACTGCCTTCGTGTAGGATCTGGGTCTTGCTGTGCCGGTCTCGAGTGATGTCTCCTTTTGTAAGAACAACACTCCCATCTGCAAAACCTGGTGAAGTAGACAGACTGAACTATTACTTATACAGCACACCTGAAATTTTATTCAGCATAAGTCAGGGCAGCTCCAGTCAGCAAAGACACCTTGCTCACCGGCAAGGTATGAAGTGATGGGATTGCCACAGGTTCTTGTGTCAAGTCAATCTGGCCAAACCACCTCCCAGTGCTCCTGTTCCAGTTCAGAGCTGTCACATTACTGCATACAGGAGGGCACTGCTCAACAAGGGTCAGCTTGCTTTCCACACACAGATCTCATGCACAGGTTAATTTTGTTCTGAGTCTCTCTGTATTTTGCTCTATGAACAGCCTTCCCATCTCACAACTGTAATGATCACTTTAACTCCCTTGCTTATTCAAAACACATTGTAAAAAGACAAGAGGAAGATTTTCTGTGTGAAATCATGCAGTTTTCACAACTTGCCAACAGCCTCAATGCTGTAAGTTGTCCCAGGATGGGAGGCCATCACACACACAGGGAAAGCTTTTTGATTTCAGTGCAGGGACCATGTAACCTTACAACATTACTGCTCTTAGTCTGTCAGAAGTTAAGCAAGAAACATTACAAAGGAATGGGTAAATCCAAAAGGCAAAACTGGCTTTCTTATTTTTAAAAAAGGTTTTTACAGCATACTTGAAAAAAAATTTCTCTGTAACACTAGGTATCACAAAACCTATGGTTTCTCCTGTACCAACAGAAGCTGAATTTAGTACTAAGTTCAATAAATATGTAGCCTGAACAACTGGCAGAGAAAGAGGATATCAACTAAAAATATGTGCTTCCCTTTTAAGTACCAAAGTTATTTGTGTAATATATACAGACTCAGGCTAAATTTACACATTTATCTTCTCAAGCTCTGTGACAGTACGAGACACACAATCTCTCAGAGAGCATAACGTAACAACTGCATTAGAAGAAAAACCATCAGTGTGTTCAGTGCTGATTTTTGTGCTATCTGTTCATTTTCCTTACATCTGAGTAAGAGTTAATTTTCATAATATTTATTTTTCATAATATTTTTCTTAAGCTGTTACAGCTCAGTTTTACTTACCAATAGCCATGAAATTAAGATTCTCGTGGACAGTTAAGCAGGATACAACCGTGGGCTTGTTACCTGGTATTGCTGGAAAAATTCGTGTGCACAGAGGATTGCCACCATCTCGCTTCTCCAGGTTCCAGACTTTCACCTACAAACAACGATCTGCCATAAGCAAAACATGTGGTATTAGAAGGCCAAGACCTGGTATCAAATGTTACAGTGCCCAAAATGATCAAGGTACTTAAAGTAAGAAAAGTCATCTGAGATAATCACAGTAGCCTTTAGAAAGACACATATTACAAATACATTTTCCTCACTTTGTCATTTGACTTACCAAGGGGTTAATACCCTCTTCGTCCTCTCCAACAGAAACCAAGATGCTGTGCTGCTTCAGCTGGTACAGATGCGTTACCCTCAGCTTGTAAGCCTGGAAACTACTGAGTTGAAGGGAGCGAGGCAAAAACCAAATCTGACCTTCCATATTTAGATCACAGTTAAGGCACATAAAGGGGAAAAAAAAAAAAAACACACCAAAAATCCCCAAACCCCACACCTCCAGTCATACCAGGATCAAACACGTTAATGGTTCTCGCTGACCCCTCGTAGGGCTTCAGTAAACACCTCTGCAGAACGACCCTGGAGCACCAACACATTCAGCAGGTTTTTTTTTTTGTGTTTAAAGCAAAGGACAGCGGAGAGCAGGAAACTGGAGCACCCTCCAGCTCCGGCCCCGCTGAGCCCCGCACAGGCCCCAGCGCCCGGCCCCGGGCAGGATATCCCCAAACACGAGGCTGCCCCGGCCCGAGTCGCAGACTGCGATGCCCGGGGGCAGCGCAAAGGGCTTCGCACCGGCCCCATCCGGGCCCGGCGGCTCCTTCACCGTCTCTCTGTCGAAGAAGACGAAGCGGCGCCACTGCAGGTACGCAGCCATGTTGGGCCGGCCCCGCCCGCCGCTCACGTGACCGGGGCCCGGCATCACGTGACCCGGGCCCCCGCCCCTCGGGGGTGCCAAGAAATTTAATTTTAAAGGTTGAATTTTGAACACACTTATCGAGGGAAAAAAAACCCCACATATCTGAGCCTGCTAGAGATTTAAAATTCAGCCGGGTGTCAACAAGCTTGAAGGACTCATTTTACAATAATAAAAATTATTATGATGATTTTTATTACTACTATTTTATTACTATTATAATTCTTATTACTACTACTACTGCAGTTACTACTGCAGTGTAGTAACTAATATTTAATCTTTGAGAGACCATCAAATTTTAACTCACCTCTCCCCAACAAGGCCACAGTAGTATATACAAAATGTTAGGCCTGAACCGTTGGTCACATCCAGGGCCCAGCTGAACAAGGGGGTTGTGAGAAACGGAAATGGTTAATGGCTTAAACATCGTTAGGACCACCGAAGGGATCTATTAACAAGAACCTGGGTTACCCTCGCCTTCTAGGGCGGATTGTAACAGAGATAACAGAGTCTGAATCTTGTGACTCAATCTACCGTTATCCCCCTCACCCCCAGCCTCCACGTAGGTAACTTTTGTGTTGGTATCGATTTTAGATTGACTGTGGTCTGCTTTTTCTCTATGCTTTAACCATCTAGTCAGCACTAGAGTGAACCTTGCCAACAAACTCTGTTGTGCTTTTATATTAAATCTGCTTCCCCCATTATATCTGCTTTTCATAGAATCATAGAATCAGCTGGGTTGGAAGGGACCTCAGAGATCATCAAGTCCAACCCTTGATCCACTATCGCTGCAGTTACTAGACCATGGCACTAAGTGCCATATCCAGTCTCTTTTTAAAAATCTCCAGGGACGGAAAATCCACTACTTCCCTGGGCAGCCCATTCCAATGTCTGACCACACTCTCTGTAAAGAAATTCTTTCTAATATCTAACCTAAACCTCCCCTGGCACCTCTTGTCTTGCTGCAACCAGATGCCAGGTAAAGTGTACTGCTCTAGTAGAGACAAGACTGTGGAGCATTGGAGCCTGGGAGAGCAGCTGCCACTTAGGCTGGAGGGTCCATGCAGACCCAGGATGGCTTGCGCAGGCAGAGCACCCTTCCCCTTGTCAAGTGCCACAGGTCTCATCAGCACACTTTTCACACAGCACAATTAACAGAAAAAAACCAGAACAAACAGGAGTTCCAGGGAGCTTTTATTGAGTTAAATCAACAAAATCAGGATTTTACCATTCATCGTTTTTTGCATTTGCAACTCATGAAGTTCTTCACAAGTCAGTGCTGCAACACAGATACAGCCAGAAAAACACATCTCAACAAAATCTGAGCTCCACTGGAGAGTTTGCCAATTTAACAGAAAGCCAATTGTCCCCTCCCTCCCCCGACTGTTTTCAAGGACTAGACCATGTTGTTTGCTGGTTAACAGTAAGAATATCAACCCCTTGTCTAGGGACCAGTGGATTATGACACTCCACTCAAATCGCAAATAATTTCTTTTCTTGAAATAAAAGTTCCAGTTTCTTTCAATAAAGGGAATAGTGACTATTTTCCTTCTCCTGACACCCCTTCCCCAAAATTATTGGTTAAAATACAGCAAGGCTGTATCTTAATAAACCCATCCCCCCCTTCCCTCCTTACCCTTCCCTAACTTGTCTACAGCAGAATTTAACAATGCTTCCCCATAGAGGCATTTTAGCAACACAACAATGAACTGAGCAAAACTTACAGCCTAATCTGCCAAAGCCTCCTTATGAAGTTCAGATGCATGCTCTTTGGTCCAGAGACCTGGCTTATTACAGAGATAAGCTGTGATGCAAAAAAGATGGACCAGAAGTTCACAGCAACCAGAAAACTCCCTGCAGGGACTACAGTTGCCCAACCTCTACCATGGCAGCTGTACTGCTGGAGTTTCTGGGAACAAAATTCACTTTGTCCTCAGAAAGCAACAATCAGTTGGCCCCAGCAGCACTACAAAGTTCAGCACCAGGGCGAGAACCACCACAATGGCAGCTCAGGAGACATGGCATGGCATCTCTGTAACCTCTCCTACAGAAACTGAGGCAAGACAGCCATCTGCTCAGATTTGTGTCCTATCAGTCATTTGTAAAGAAAACAGTGTTTGAAGCATTTTTAAATTCTTGGAGTAGACACCCTCCCCCCCACCCCAAATGAAAATAAACAGAAGATCAGAATGAGATGATTTGATACCACCATATACGCAACATGAATTCATGTTGAGCTTCCCTGTTCTTACCCACAAAAAAAAAAAAATCACAGAGGGCAAAGGAAAGATGCTCCCATCTCATTCTGGAAATTGGAACGTGTATTTGAGACCAACCCACCCCCCTCCCTTTGGGAAAAGGCCTCCAGCAGCTGCAGTGCCCCCCAGCACACCCAGAGACCATCCTACAGGTTCTCTCAAGTGGCTGAAGAGCCACTCTCTTCACAGCCACCTTGCCCAGCTGTGAAACTGCATTTCACAGATTCATGGAGTGACGCTTTTGATTTCCGAGTTAAAAAGTGCAGAATACATCAGGTTCTCATTCACATCAACTTTGTCAGAGGAAGTATTTGACCTAGGGCTCATCACTGAAGGCTCCAACTAATGCATATGTAAAGGCTGGCACATGACCAGCAAGAACTGGAGCTCACAAGGAATCTCAGGAAGCCAAGATTTATACACACTCCTTACTCTTGGACAGGGAACAAAACAACCAAGAAAACCCCAAAACAAAATAATAATAAAAAACAAACAAACAAACAAAAAAAAAACTAGGATTATCCTAGTCCTTTGGAGCATCTTTCCATTTGCAAGATCGCATCTGTTCAAGATAGCCTACTAGCACCAAAAATAGGCTGCTTCCTTCTTGACAAGAAGCCACCTAAAGATGGTGCCCTGATAGTTTAGATTAAGTGCCAATCCTCAACGAGAGGCCAAGTTTAAAGTAATACTTTCAAAAGTTCTGTGCTTCAAGAGGGACCATCAACGCATGGCACCAGGCTAACCTACCACAAATCCAAGCAGAGCACACACACCTGACTCAACATCGCTATCCTGTTCTTGGTACATGTGCATGCCCTGGTAAGATACAAAACTTATTTACATTTGTCATGTGTTCGTTGCAGTAAAATGATCCCTCTTCTGTCTGGAAAATCATAAGCTGGCTGCAGTACAAGAGCAAGATTTTACTTTTGGTCAAAGTTACCACCCACAACCTCCCACCCCCCACCCCCAAAAGCACCCCAAAATTGTTTACATTTAGTACCTGCCAGTCAGATGTAAGCTGTGTGGCTCACAGTGTGTCTGTGACCAAGCTCTTGAGTTTGTACTCTAGTGCAGCATTTGCTACAATTATGGAGTCACTGCTGACAAAAGGAAGAAAAACATCCCAAACACAAAAACCTTTCCATCTTGTAAAGCTGTTGTCAGGAGGCACCTGGCTTGTTATGTATGATCCTCAAGGAAACAGATGGCTAAAGTCCGCCTTGTTGTTCCAAACAATTTTACTCCAATTCAAAAAAAGGGTCAAAATGGGAGAAATTAAGACAATTAATTCCTGCCTCAAAGGTAAGCAAGCATGGTGAGTGCAGCATTTGTATATGCAATAAACAAATGAGCAAAAGGGATTGCATTCATCCAGGTGCCTCCTGACAGTGGTGGTGAACAGGCTAAAAGGGATTTTAAAAAGAGTAGTTTTTGATTTGTCTCACTCCTTTTGCCTGTAGATCAGGCCAAACATCAAGCATGTTGGGAGGGGCACAATTTAAAGCAACACTACTTGACCAGATAGCACTTTTCAGCAATATACAATGCAAAATGACAGACAGCAACTCATGCCAAACCAGAGGAGATGGCAAGCAGCTTCCTGCAGTGTCTGACGTTAACAGGGGTTTGCCCTTACCTGCTCACAGTTCTGCACAGAGGCTGCTCTGGGCAGAAAATGCACAGTGCTGCAGGAAGTGAATCGCTTCCATAAAGCTCCAGAACTGTCAGTTTATGCATGTAAACTGGTTTTCTATGGTCTCTCTTAAACTCAAATTCACATCTTAAACATCCACTGCTCAGAAATTCTGACACTCACTGGATTTCCCTCCCACCAGGGTGGAACACAGGTCATGGGCCCCTTCAGAGCTTGTCAAGCTCCTGAAGTTTCTAAGGGGGAAATCAAAGAGCATCTCCAAAAAGGCTGAGCTATGGATTTGGAGGCCTTGGAGCCCCCCAAGTGATCTCTTCCATACGAGTGGTACAGGACAGTGTTGCCAGCACCAAAGCACAGCCACACTGACAAGGGACACTTGTGGAGGCCTGCACTTCACAGAGGTCAGAGCACTTCTCACTGTTTAGTGTTGCAGAAAACTGAGCCCCTCTCATCTTTAGCTGCTCCCATAATCAGTCTAATCCCTTTAACCCCAGCAACCTTCATCACAAAAGAAAAAAGTTATATATGAACCCAAAGAGAAAAAAAATAATATTTACAAAGTTTGTACAATATACACATCTGATTTTCTATGGGACACACTGCACCAGAGGAAAGAGGGCCATGGCTCTGAAACAAGTCTACATATCAAGTGCTGTAACTACGAATGGAGACTTATGGAAACCAGTCTTTAGTGTTCTGCTAGAGCACAGGGCTTTTCTTATGGCTCCTGCAAAGGATGACAGGCTACTCTTTCCTTCTGGAGCTATGATGCTGCACCTAATCAGCCCAGATTTTAAGTTGGTTTCATTTTAAATACAGATATTTACAGTTTGGGTGAACTGCAGATGCATATCAACTCCTCCAGTTAAAAAAAAAAAGTTGAAGAAAAAAGTAGTATTACCAATACATTTCACCTCCCAGCCCTGGGCTTGAGTACTTGGGAAGGAGGAGAAGGGGAAGAGAGGGGAACTTTGACCTGAAACCAAAAACAGCTGTTGATTCCTTGGGCTGTGTTGGAAAGGTGATATTCTGAATGGTCTCATAGCATAAGGCACTTTGCACGAATAAGTAACAAGCTCTTTAGCTTAAAAAACAGATGAGTAACCAGGGAGAAGTTGAAATGCACTCAGTCGATGGTTAAAGAATTTGAAATAGCAGACAAGCTCGCGTTCATCAAGATTCTTCTCTTTTCAGGGTTTCTCTTCTTCCCTTGCTGCCCCTCCCACCCAAAGAAAACAAAATTTAAAACCAGCAGTTAGTGCAACTAATGTTCAATCAGCACACAGTGCAAACAAGTGGAAAAACAAAAAGATATTCCTCCTTTTATCTTCTTTCTTCCTTGCTGCCAAATTTAAAAATAAAAAAAGGCCGAGCTCTTTAGTCTTCATAGTTTCGAAATGAAAAGACGAAGAAAAACCCACAAAGAGAAGGGTATCCCCAAAGAAACGATGTGTCACAGATCTGGATCATAGGGCTTCACCTTCTGGCATGTGTAATCAAAGCCTATAAAAAAAAACCAAACAAACACAAAAAAACACAACCACAACACCCACAGTTAAATCGGTTCTATGCAAAACTAAAATGTAAGAGATTAATTCACACTGACTATGCATCAGCTCTGGAAAAGAAAAGGGCATGTTGAACAGCTCAACCTCAGCCTCAGCTTTGTAGAAAGAGGTGCTGCTAATGCTCTACTGTACTTAGGAGCACAATTATCTCCTGGTTTCTTGCCTTTTAGGAAGCAGCAAACTGTTCTCTGGCAAGGTCAGAGCATTCCCCCTAAAGAAGCCACCCAAGAGCCTGTTCCAAGTTCATCACTTGTTTCCTTATTTTATTTACTTATAAACTTGGAGGAGGTTCAACCAGCAAAGCAGAGGCTTGCAAGTCAACTTGGCATGACTGGCTAAGGCTGTCCTTGGATGATTTCAAAGAAGGAACCACAGTTCATTTTAACACTATCAAGCAGTCTGCTTCTATGGCCACTTTTTTTTTTTTTATTGGTCACCTGAGGCAAATTTCAGCAGCTTCACTTTCTAATTCATGATCTCTGAGAAGAATACACAAAAGAGTGATTTCCAGCCCAAACTGTATGGTGTTGGATCTTGCACGACACAGCAGCTTAACTAAGGTCAGATCAAACGTCATCCTGCAGCTACTTTGCCTGACTGCAGTCCAAGGCAAGTAGTCTTCTTATAAAAGGACTCAACTCAGCAGCTTTTTCTCAGACAACGTTCAGAAAGGGAGCACTTAGTCTCCAACAGTGCAACCTCATTTTCTTTTAAAACTATGTAGACGACCTCGAGTGGCAGCAAATACGAATTACAGCTTCGCTCCCTACTTTGTTCACTTGCAGTTCTGTGAACCAAAGGATACAAAAGAGGCAGCACCTTTCGCTGGAACCTGCTCCGTCTGACTGATGAGGTGCTTAGCTCTTCTGTTGGTGCTCTGTTCTCACAGCTATCCATTTTCTCTCCTCACCTTTCTGAGGACCACTTTCCTCTCTGCCCCTCACCAATTTCTCATTTTAGCTAAGCAATACAGAAAGAATTCCTTAGACTACTAGTATCCCATCATGGCCTCTCCCAGCAGCATTCCCCCCTCCCCCTTCCCCCACTTTTGGTCTCCTTAGCGTATGGTCAGCATTTAAATTAAAACAACTAAAAAATACTCCTCCTCCCCTCCCAGCTTAGCATGTCCACAGAATTCCTTGCACTGAGAGTCTATTTCAAACCCTTGTTTTCACATTCAGAGCCTTTTCATCACATCAGTTTCCCTCTTCCCCTGCGCTAATACTGACATATCAACTCTCATCCCACACAATGTTGGTATTCAGGAGGCACTTACAAACATACATGTTTACTGTTTCTCATCTTCTACAGGTTCGCTGTGGTATTCTGCCACATACAGGCTCTTGTCAATGTTGCTTGGTATGGGTTTAATTTCAGTTCCCAACTGCTCCTCAATACTTTTCAGGTTGAATCGATCATCATAGGTGATCAAGTTGATGGCCAGGCCAAGATGACCAAAGCGACCTTGACAAAAAAAATAAAAGAAACACACATCTGAACTGAACTGAGTAACAGAGGGTTGAATGAAAAAGTCTACAGACATTGCTCTCTGATGGTAAAAACAAATCCAGCTGCAGGTTTCTACATGTTTCACATCAGTTTTTGGTGAGGAGTTTCATACTGCTGCAGGAAAAAGAAAACTCAGGAAGTTTAATATGCTCTGACCAAAGCTCCAGGTTAATTATCAGAGAAAAGTCTTCCACTCCTGCATTATGCACATCCAGCCCTTCTTCGATAACAGAGTTTTTGAGCAAGGTTGAACTACAAAGTTCAAGTATACTGAGTTCGTTTACTGCCTTCCTTAGGGGTATATTTTGCTGATGTCCAATCAGCAGAAACATACCTCAGAATACATGGAAAAGAAAGCACAGATGTCTATGCTTGAGATACCCTGGAAGTTAAGTTTTCAGTATAGAATTTTCCCTGCAAACAGGGGCAATAGTAAGTCTCCTGAGATAAAACCAAAATAAGCCTTTATTTCTCATTTGCCAGTCAGGTCAGTTTCAAGAGAATGGGCCTTTATTTAGACAAAATCCTCAGTGAGGATAACCATCTGAGGTGATACTCAAAAATAAATTTGTCAGAAAAATTAAAGCTATCTAAGGTAATTCTCAGATACAGTAATAAAACCCAAAAGTGAATTCAAGGCTAAGAAGCATCACAGTCATCAGCAAAGTTGCACCTAAAACACATCTTTCCTCTCACCTGATCTGCCAATGCGATGGAGATAAGTCTCTGCCAGCTTTGGGAAATCAAAGTTTATCACCACATTCACAGCCTGGATATCAATACCTCGGGTAAACAGGTCTGAAAGACAATCCAGGTCACAAAGAAAGTTAATTTCAATGAGATCAAATCCTGACAGTATTTAGGGTGCAAAGATTAACAGTGATTAACATTGCCTCACGCTATTTTCCAGATATAAGCTTTCTTTGTATCAAAGACAGTTTACATACAATCCTGTTACAGCTTCTTGCTCTGTATCCACTATAAACACGAATAATATAAGAAAAATTATCAAAACCACCAGATCTGCACATTAAGCTAGCTTTTTCCACATGAGACTATTTCAGCACACAGGTCTTCTTAAACAAGCATCTTCTCACACAGGATTGTGCGCTGCCAAAGTCTCAACAGACTTGAGACCTCAACTACATTCCACTACCTCAACTACTTCTATTCCATTTCCAGTGATTTTTGTTAAGACGACCCAGACATAGCAGTGACTTGTTAAGATGACCCACTGATAGCAGACACTGCTGGGTACTGCCCAAACAGGCCATAAAAACAGAGAACTTGGATCATACACAGGCCAATCAAAACCACAAAAGTATTTAGAAAAAAAATGAGCTATGAGTACCTAAAGAATCAACAAAATTTATTCACATGATCCTCCTAGTCAGAGTTCTACTGATATTTCATAAAGTTTATGGCCCAACATCTCAGGGAGCCCTTGCATGTGAAAATAAACAGAAAACACTATCGCAGTGAAATGATTTGTTGGCAAAGGTGCACTTTCACAGTTTGTCACAAAAGACAAAACTCCACGTGCCCAAAGGAGTGTTGCGTCCTGCAACATGCAGGCTTAACAAAGACATCTACCAAAACACCTTGTTTTGGTTTATTACAAATAACTGGTCTATTATACCTGGGCCAATGCGCTTTCTACTACATCTTTTAGAAACAGGGAAACCTTGAGCAGCTCTTACCAGTGCAAACGAGATTGCGGCACAAGCCATTCCGAAAATCGTGGAATACACGATTGCGGTGCTCCTGGAAATACACACATATAAACAGAGAGGAAAAAAAACCAAACCCCACAAACCAACCAATTCACATAACAAACACCAAACTTCAATCATGTGAATTTCTCCCAGTTCTCATTAGAAAACAGCTGAGTCGAAACAAGCTGCCAGTACATATTTTTTTAGCGCTCCTTACCACGTATTCTAAAGAACTTAGCCAAGAGGGCCTTGATCCCACTTTTTGACAAAGGCACTTAACTGACTGCATTTTAAAGCTTCCTACAGTGGCATCAGAGCCATCTCAGAAAACGACTATCTGAAGTTACAATTACATGAAACCCACATCAAGGAAGTTAAACTGCTATTTTGACTTTTGCCTTTCCCTGGTCCCTCGCTGAATTTAACACATTTTATTTATTCCCTTAAAAAATGAACTCAGCAGTAAACTTCCTTTTCTAGTATGAAGCATTTTTCACTACCGATGCAGAATTAGGTGTGGGACGAGTCGATTTTCTGTGAAGACTCTCCTCACACAAAGATTAAGTAATATCACTGTTAAGAAGTGAAATTTAGAGAGGGAATAAACAAGCTGAAGCATTTGGCGAAAACAGAGCTGCACTTCACCACAAAGACCATCTACCAACCAATCAAAAGCATACAAAAATCAAACTTCAAGGAATCCACTTGCATATCTCTCTGTTCTCAATACCAACACCACTTCTATTTCTGCTTAATTAATTACTGGTCTGGCCCACCAAACATTGGTATTACCTGTCAATTGCATGAGCAGCAAGCTAGACTACCCTGAAAGCTTTCATTTGAATTTGTTTTAGCTTAATTATAAAATGAAAAAAATGTTTCAAAATACTCCTGTTCTACACGCATCATTTCAACCTTCTGACATCTTTTAGTATCATGTGAGGTATTGTGAGGACATGTGAGCTACCATGCAATTAACAGAAACCTCTTCACCAGCAAAGCTGCAATAGCATTTTTCATCATCTACATCAAGGTCACAAGTGCCTGGTCACCACACAACAGATGTAGCTTTCTCCAAGAGGTTCCATCAAAGCCACCTCCTCAACTTCTCAGATTCCCCTGCAGTCACAGTGCAAGATTTCTGTTTGCAAAGACACACATGGCACTCGGTGGGCTAAGTATTGGGGTTTTTGTCATTTGTTTGAAATCAAGCCTGTTTTCACCTGTGTCAGTTACACTGTGTGGCCTACCCTGCCTTCCCATGCTGCCAAAGCAAGGCAGCAGCAACATTAAGAAAGAACTGTGCCTTCTGGCTGCAGTCGGTGCTTGCACTGGACAAATTAACCTGACCTGAAGTAGTCTTAAATACCAACTGGCCAGCTACACTGAACAGTCTGGAAAGATGACTGGGATGGGGGAACATGGCAGGGAGGTTGACAGTGGGCATCTAAAAACAAACCTATAGCAAAGCAATATATGTTTCAGCTTACAAAGAACATGCAAAATTAAAGAAAGCATGAGACTTAATTCAGCTATGCGGTAAACCTGGGGTGGTGTGGAATAAACCACTGCAGACTTCATACTCACCTGCCTCATTTTAGCATGTATATAGAAGCAGGAATAGCCCAGCTGGGAGATCTTTTTGGCTAGCAATTCAACCCGTTGAGAGGAGTTGCAGAAAATGATCGACTGGTTAATCTGGAGCTGAACATATAAGTAGAGTGCTCAGTAAATGCAGCATTTTACTAACAAATGATCCTAGACATGTCTAAATCCCTACGATAAAGAAAGCATGGCAGGTATGCTGCTGGTAATTTACATAGGATGTATTTTTGTACAGAGGAAAAACAATTAACAAAATTCTGTAACATAAAGGTGCAAGACAAGAAGAATGCATTTTTATCTTCAACTACATAACACATTTTGACAAAGAAAATGTTTTGTTAAGCCACCCTTGAAACATTCAGTCTTATTCTTAGTTGTGAAAGGAAAAAAGCTTCTGTATGTTTCTGACGAAGCCCTACTCCTTACCCTGGAAAAGAGCGTGTTGAGGCAGTGCACTTTCTGACGCTCAGTGACATAGGCATAGTACTGAGTAACTCCCTTCAAAGTCAGCTCCTCCATCAGATTAATCTCGTAGGGTTTCTGCAAATGGGAATTCTGAAAAATAAAGATAATGACAGATTTACACGCAAAACAATGTAAATACTTCCCATCCTACGGCACACTTAACTCCATGGCAAGGATGCTCTACCTCGCCACTCACTCTTTGTGCTATACTCTAACAGACAGGGTGGGTAAAATTTCACAAATGATTAGTCATAAATCCAAGGCGACTGAGCAGGTCCAATAGGAGCACCCTCTGGGAGAAAATGCATGCAGATGACACATAACCAACCCACAAAGTGGAAAACATCACCTTATGGGCAAGAAATGCTTGTACATAGCCTCCCATTAATGCTATTGCAGGTCAAAAACTCTTTTCAAACTTCTGTCCAAGACTTGGGTTGATTTAGATTAAACCTGTGAAGTTTAGATGCACTAAAAAAACCCAAGCACTAACAGTTGTGCACCACTCACACAATGTCACCACCATCACACCTACACGGTATCTCTGCACTCACCATGAACTTCTGTACACTCAAAGGGAAAGTGGCAGAGTAGAGTAAAATCTGTCTGTTTTTAGGTAGCGTGAGAATAATATCTTCCATTATTTGAACAAAATCTTGAGACAGCAACTTATCTGCCTGCAACAACAGAAGTAATAGAGCAGAAGTTAAAATAAAAAAAATATTTTGGTCTCCTGGTAGCATCACATTTGGGGGAAGGAAAAACCAGTTACCAGAGTTCCTACCAGAGTCATTCAAGAGTTTTCACACAACTATATTTTTTCTCACTGAGAAGCCTGTACACTACTGGATGTACATAAGTCAATTTTATACACAATTATGTGGTAAGCACAGCTCACTCATTATAAAAGGAAATCAAATGAAATGCATTTCTTAGTTTTGGGCTAGATTTGTTACTCTAATCTTCAGCATCAGCAAAGAAGACAGGAAAGGCAAATCTTCCTAGGCTGTTTTCTTAAGAGTCACATGCAGAAAAATCCTCCTCCAAAATACTTTCTCAAAAATACCAGGAAATGGATGAGCTATAACCTTATAGTGTCTCTAAGCAAAGTTTGATTTGTTGCTGTGCATAGAAAGGAGACTCACTGAAACACGTAATTGCTTTAACTTGGTGTTAAAATCCCAGAACATTTAACATGAGCAACTTGCCTCATCCAATACTATCATCTGGACATGCTCAACTTTTGCTACTCCTTTCTTGATGAGATCGAGAATTCTCCCAGGGGTAGCTATCACCACATGCACTGTAAGGTTAGAAGAGCAAAAAAAATAGTTAAGCCAACTAAAATAATGTTTCTGGCATTCATGGCCATGTTTCATATGAACAGTTTGAAAGAATGATGACTGTATACCAACACCAAACAAGACATATTGAAGTCTGCTCTGTAACAGGCAAACAGTAATAAGCAGAAATTCCACTACCACACTGTAAAAGCCACAAACAAATGGCAACTGTAGTGCACCAAAAGTGCTCTGACCTGTATCATCAAGTCTCATTATATCATCTCGCAAATTGGTTCCTCCTGTGGTTGCCATCACTTTGGCACCTCCCATGTGTTTGCTGACTTGGATACAGATTTGACTGACCTGCAGGGCTAGTTCACGGGTGGGAACAATCACCATTGCTGAAAGTTAAAAACATCAGTGTGAGTTACTAATAACACTGTATCTTAAATACTCATCCTCAGAGGAGACAGACCTCATGAAAGTGGTACTTCTATGGTTTTGGAGTTCCACTCTAGGTATCCTGAGCAGCCCAGGAACTGCTTATGACAAGGCAAATTCTGTGCAAGGGTTCTCCCTTCTTTGATGCTCCCCTTGCTGAGTCCCCCAGCCAGCACACTCGCTTGTTACTTCACATCCACTTTCCAGGGGCAAGACAGTCAAGTCCAGAAGACGTCTTCCATTTAAAGCTTTTGAAAGCAACTGCGGGACTTTCCAAATTCCACCTCCCCTCCACCACTCCCCATTAACTTTCTCTGGAAGTACGAGCAGATAACCCACGCTGCCCAGTTTCATTAACTAGTTTTAGATTCAAGTCTGTTAGGTAGCGACTGACACCATTACCTGGCTGCAGCTACATGAAATCCACCTCAACTGACCTTGTATATTGTCCTTCTTTAAGTCTAGCCGTTCAAGTAAAGGAATGAGGTAGGCTCCACTCTTGCCTGTTCCATTTTTCGCTCTAGCCAAGATATCCCTACCAGATAAAGCAATGGGGATGCTCTCCTCCTGAAATGCAAGGACAGACAGCACACGAGCAATCAATCACAAGCCATGCTCACTGAAGAGGCTGACCAAATTAAACTCCCTTCACTAACAGTATCACATGAAACCTGACTGTTTCATGATCATGATTATTATTATTACTACTATCCTGCAACTACAAGCATGGCAGACTCACAACAGGAAGAAGTTAAACCCATCAAGAAAGAGTTCCCCAACATATCCCACTTAGAATTCCTTATATTGTCTGATCATAAGATTGGGTACCACAGGTGATAGTAAAGCCATACTGACACATTAGGAAAAAAGTGAAAAATTGGGGGGCGGGAGGGGGGGGGGAAGTGAAGAGACAATGATAGTCACTAGCAAACTCCTCCTATGGAAAAAGATTCCCACCTATACCTTAACATCAGAACAAACACAGCCCGTGTGATTCAAACCTGTACATTCCTGTGACACAATTCTCATAAAATCAGTAGGCTTTCCTTTTGAAACTTCAAACTTCATCATCCAAACACAGGGCCCATGTATTTTTAACTTTACTGTCTTTTACAGCAACATCTAAAGAAATCTCAGCCTTTTGGAAAGGTGCATCATGAGAACCTGTTTTAAAGTAGATCAATCACCTAAACGCCATAGCTTCCTCATGCCTTAAGGAGATAAGGCAGCAGAGCTGTGTCAATGATAAACCTTCAAAGACCAATTAAAAGAGAGTTCAACTTCCCTCCTCCCCGTCCTGCGAAGTTTACACACCAACGGTTCTTAATAGAACAAGCCTTAAGAGTAAAAGGGAGATGGGGAGACAGAAAAGTGAACTTGCTAAGATATTAATCTCTCTCCCACAATCTGCATTACGCTTCTTCCAGATGCTTACAATAAAAAGAGCCAAGACTGCAATAAAGCCATAATTGCCTCTGTAACAACTAAAGGTACGCAGCCTATAGTAACTCAGTTTTCTGGAAAATTTACAGAACAGCTCTGTTCTCACTGGGACTACTTATGTGAAGGATGTTAGTGAACAGACAATTAACAAATTAAGACCTCCAGCATGAAAAGGAAAATCCAAATTAACTTCTCCAAAGTGTAAGTCAGTCCCATCACTAAGCCACCCATTGCATGACTTAGTTTGGGGTGAGAAATTCTTGCCTTCTCCAAAGGAAGAACTTCCCACCATGTTCCACTGTTCACAGCCCCAGTTTTCCCAAACCATGACATAAGTATTGGACATACATGCAAAGTTAAACATGGCTTCTAAGCAGTTTGTTTGCAAACAACCTGAATAGGAGATGGTTTTTCCCAGCCCATTTCAAAAATTCCCATCAGCAACTCCCGTTTCAAACAGTAATCTTCAAACTCGTTTCCTTTTGTGGAGGTCACGTCCTGAATAATCAAAAAAAGTACATCCATAAGATTAGGTCAGACAACCTGCAGCTGTTTTTGATTGGTCTGAGACTGCTTGTGCAGGAAGACCACAAATTACTATACAGGAGTTTCCACTACTCCATGCAACACCCTACAGCGGCAGAGGAAACATTTGCTTTCTCAGAGCCAAACACAGCTCTGTGATTACAGTGACACCTTCCCATCTGCCTCACACAACACAAAGACCATCAGTCCCTGTTGTAACACTACTAAAGTAAGAAATCCACAGTGAACTCCATTTTGAAGCTTTCCCAGAAAGGATCACTCCCAAGCAGTTGGAGAGTAAATTAATTCTTCATTTAAAACAGCAGGAACTGAACTGCTTTTTAACCTTTGCTCAGAACAAATATTTTGCCACTGCAACTTCTATCTTTTATTTAACATTTATTCCTACAATTCAACCATCCTTACCGAAGTTTTGATTCTCAAATCTTTTGGAGGGAGTTTTAAAGTCTTCTTCCAGTCATCACCAGGTCTATAGCAAATATAAAATAACAATAAATTATAAAATAAGTCTGGATTAATATTTTGATTTTGCATTTTATTTTCTTAGATACAGTGATGAACATGTAATATTTTAACCTCCTCAAAGCTAAAAGCACCTACACACATGAGCTCAAGTTTTCTCTGAGTTAAGCAGGATATAACAGGCAGGAAACTGGAAACAGAGAAAATCAGCAGTCTGCCAAAGACATTTGTGAAATATTTATCCAGTCATGATTCAAGTCCCACTTTTAGGGCACTGAATCAATCCACTAGAACAGATTTAAAACTGAGCACTGACTTAGTCATACAACAGAAACCGGCTATAATAAATCCACCTGAGAGTATTTCACCACTTAAAAGAAAAATTCTCTTGCCCAGGGAACATCCATTCTTAATCCCCAAGTAATGTGAGAAGGTAAAAACCACTACACTGGTTGATCAAAAGTCTTTTTTTCTCAGTGAGATTTAGACACCCATCCTCTCTTGAAAGGCACTGTATAGATTAGAGCAAGTCCTTCTCTTCCACACTCCCACAAAGTCATGAGTTTAATTCACCAGTTTCAGTGTAACCCATGTAATACACAAAAAAAAAGGGGTGGGGGGGCAAGTTAGGCAGAGTTTAAAAATCTGAGTGTTCCATCGCGTACTCTCTGAGGAAGCCGGCACTTCCTTTGCAAATAATTAACAAAATAAAAGCCTATGCTGTTCAGGGGGAGCAGGAACAATAGGGGAAAGAGAAAAGCAACACATTACCATACTGTCCAAGTCTTTTACATCTGTCAGAAATTCCAACCAGCACACTCACGTTTTATTAGCACACTTCCAAAACCAGCTGGATGGGAGCAGGGTATCATAGGCAGACCATATCCTCTCAGCTAAGGCTTTGATGAATTAAAGCCAGAGCATTACACTGAGGACAGCAGGTACTACTATTTCAGATCAATGACAAAAGATAACTGACTTTAAAGCATTTCTCATCGTGAGAAAGAACTGTAACAAACCAAAAAGTATACACAACAGGACTGAGACCAGGTGGCATTTCCTCCTCTGTCTTTAATTTCAGTTCTGTTCCTTCCCACTCCCCAACTTCCCTCTTGTACCACTTGCAACAAGCAAAGGGCACAGGACTCTGATGCTCAGTGGGCTGCTTCTGACAGCAGTTCACACTCAGAAAAGCACAGCATCAAATTCCATTTTCACAAGGAACACACCAAAACAATCACTGCTGGAGAAGAGCTCACACATGGAAATACAGCTTTTTTTTTATAATGTATATCACAGGACACATCTACCTGCCCATGTCATAAAACAACAGCAGACAACATTTTCAAATGGGAACCCCAAAACTTTCCAATACGTGACTTTTAAACATTCCTTTTGCGGCAGTCGATACAATCACTTACTTAATAGCGGTGGTCATACTCTGTGCTTGCTGTTGAGTGCCATTATTGATTGTGTTGGCGTTTTTCAGCTGGTTCATCTGCTGCTGAGTTTGTGTGCCTCCACCTCCTGGGCCCCCGCTGGGTTTTACGGGGCCTCTCAACTGCCCATTCTGACTGGATAGACCCATTATAACAGGGTTCTCTGTTCTGGCCGTGCTCATGGTTTTATCTTTAAAGATGTCTTTTTAGACTCAAAACTTTGAAAGTCAGTACAGAAACTGTAATAACAGTTTATTAGACTCTCCAAAACGAAGAGATAAATAAGTCTTGCTCAATATATGAGTCCTTTATTGCAATGCAGGCAAGCACCTGTAAGTCACTCAAAAGTAAAGCAGTAACTTGCTCTGATGCACTGTGGATCAACTTTTTTTTAAAAAAAGCCCTCTAACGAAGTTATGTCAGAATTCACTTGCTTCAATCTGAAAAAGAAGCAGACAATAACAATTAGTATGTGGGTTTTTGGCCACACAAATCTCATCAGTCTACTTTTGTATTTTAAGAGTCACTTTTTCCCAGGCAGCGTGCAACAAGAATACTTGCTTTTCTGTTTCCTCAGTGATAACTATCACAACGTGCATGAAACTTCTCTCCCCTTTCTATAAAGCTGTGCCTACCTCCTTTAGTCATCAAAGAAAACTTCCCAAAGAGCTGTGCTTTCAGCAGCATTCCTCAGAGGAACACTACCTGCCCCCTCCCGGAAAGTAACCATGAATTTTATCAACTACTTTGACAGCTTTTCAAGTTCCCCCACTTCTGAGATGCAGCAAAGCAGCCCTAAAATGCTGAGCAATAATGTCACGCACAAGTTTATGACAGGAAGCAAGATGACAATATCAAATGGACATTCCAGTAAGAACTGACAAAACCCTTAAGTTACTCTGATTGCCCTTTTCAATTTGAAAGGAAAATAGAAATTACATAAACCCAAAACAACAGCTTACCCTTCTCCAACCCAAAACATTAGCTCAACCCAGCTTACTCACAGTTTTGAGCTGGGCATTGATTTAGAGCCGTTCAGAGCAGCAACATGAATACCATCACACTGAACTGAGCAGGTGCCTCTGAGAGTCCAAGGGACTGAGCCTGAACTGAGGCAGCGAGTAACACACACGTACACTGGGTATGCAGCTTCCTGCTTATGCGTTCCACGTGACCTCACCTTCCAGCAGTCACCAACAACTTATGTTGTGCTCAAAAAATAACATTTGGTACACAACTTAATATTGACTCTGTATGTAACAGAAAGGTGGGTAAAACCACGGAGAGACAACACAAAGTCTGCCCCTTACAGAAAGTAAGCACAGAGCAGCTGAAAGACTCCTTACTGTGGTATCACGGAGACAAAACATTCCCAGTACAAAATCTTTTGGAACAGAAAGTAGGCTTGCCTGTCCTTTCTCATCACAAGACACCTTTTATCTTGGGAAAATGCAAAGGAAAAACCAGCAGATTACTGCTTCCTAACCTCGGCGTTCACAACAAAATGTGCTTCCTCAGTGAATAAAAGCATTTCAAGAGAGCGAAAAAGGAATTCAGACTCTTCCCAGACTTCCCTGCTGTTTACAAATGCGTCCACAGCACAACTTTAAAGTTCGCAGAACCAGGATTTTTCTGCTAGCTATCTCTCATCTTTGAAGACAGATTTCTCCTAGACATTAACTTCGTAAAAAACAGACGAGATGAGCCACGAAGGTAACCGGAGCCGCCAGAGAGACCCGGGATACCAACGCCGAGGAGTTCTCCAACACTGCAGGAAATGAAACCTCTCAGCCCCTCATTCCCCATCCACACACAGCCCCCCCCCCCGTAACTACCCTTTAGGAGGACAGAGCTTAAAAACAACACTCAGCCTCACCGAACCCAACAAATCCCCCTGTTCCGAGACAAGAGGCGCCACCATCTCGCAGACCGGCGGCCCGAAGGGAAAAGGGCCCTCGCAGCCCATCTGTGCCCCCCGGACGCGGGCAGGCGGCCAGGGAAGCCGTTCCGGACCTTCCCCTTCCCCTCGGCCCAGCACAAAGGGAGCCCCCGCGACGCCCGATGTGCGCGGTGAGGCCGGGCCGCACTGCAGAGCCGCGGGGCCGAGCGGCGGGCCCGGCGCCGCCCGCGGATCGCAGCTGCGCCACACCGGCACATCCCGCCCGCCCAGAACAATGGAGTGCCCGTCACCCGCCGCCCGGCCCGACCCCGCCCTGCGCGGGACCCCGGCCCCGCCGCTCCCGCTGCGCCCCGGCCGGGCCATCCCCGCCCCGCCCGCCAC